TCCCAATCCACGAGTGAAAAGAGGCCACATACGTATTTATCTTTCTTTCTTTTCAAAAAATCTTATCTACTAACACCTTCTTCACCATGACTTATACTGACAATTGGCAATACCTTCATGGTATGTAAGGATGCCCTAAAATGTGTGAAACTATTGAGCCCATAAAACATTTGATAGATCGATCATACATTATTCTGTGTGTTTGTGCGCCCATAATAATTGTAGTACATTATATTCATGCATAGCCACGTCATTTTGTCTATTTTATACAGATTTTATGCATTTTTTCTGACTTGCTTACACATTCTGGAATCCTCGAAATTGAACGGCAGATGCATGCTGGCCTGCATGGAGGCGGGCACGCCTGCCGATGGAGACTGGCTCTCCAGCCCAGCCTGTATTTGTTGGCCAGGCATTGGATGTGTTTCCATGGCTTGAAAGCAGTCAGTCAGCAAATCTGCTTGATCCTCGAGGGGTCCGGGCCGAATGAAGCCATACGAATGACCATCCACGTCGGCTTCTCGATGTCCAATCCTTAAACTGCCGTCACCGCCGCCTACCTCGGACCTGTTTGCCGCATCTCGCCCTTCGGCCACCATTATTGCCACCGGCCCTGGTACAGCCAGACTAGCAACTGTTGTCGAGGCGTCCGAATGCAGTTGTCCGGACCCGTAACCGATAGTGGTGGGCGGCTCGGACAGTTGGTTGGCGCTGGCCGATGGACTGGCGTAGGAGGCTGACGCCTCGTAGGCGGCGGGTGGAAACAGCGCGCCGCCGACAAGCCCGGCCTCGGACTGCCGACCCACCGTCAGCGGCATCGACGCAGTCGAGGCCAGTTGAGCCTGGCTCCGAGTCTCGTACCCGGTGCCGGGTTCGAGTCCCGCGTTTTGAGCCTCTATCAGTCCGGCCAGATTTCGGAGGCCCGTGAACTGGTAGACGAACTTGTGGCCGTGCACCTTGCGAATGATGTTCTTTTGATAGTAGTAGCGCAAGGCCCGACTCAGTTTGTCGTAATTCATTCGATGATTCTTGTCCTTGCGAAGGCCCCACAGTTTGGCCACCTCTTCAGCTTGCAGCAGGACAAATTCACCTTCAGTGTTTGTCCAACGGATCAGGTGGCTGTGTCGTTGACTGAGCAACAACTCGAGCAGAAATTGCCACAACGTCACTTTGCCACCGTTTACGTCTACCACGGCCGTCTGGAGCGCAAGAGGATGGAGCCGATGCGAATGGCCGGACGTGGAGGAGAGGTGGGAAGACAAGAATAAAAAGCTTAATTAAGGTGACAAATAAATTTATTGTTGAGATGAAAGCTGAATGATATAAAAACGCACAAAGGAGTTAAGATCAAGAACAGAGAATGAAGAATATGCTATAAAGGAGACAAATGATGTGAAATTTAATGGAAACGTCAGCTCAACTCATATCATTTTGGGAAAATTCTACTACCAGTCCTTCATCACCTTAGACGAAATAGGGTGAATACATCTCATATTACAGATTTACTGGTAGTCTCGATACTCTACTCTAATACGAAAGCAACCATTTATTACCTATCAAAAGGCTTCTCTGATCCTGGGTGGCTGCAGTTTCTAACTGAAAAACTGAGTAGTGTGAGCTCATCAACGGGACTACGAACATAGTTTCGCGGATGATATGATAACATGTTACCAATCGCCCATCAGATTGATTTTTTACTTTGTCAGAGGGCAGATGAGATTTTCATGACAAGCCACTTCATAGTTTCGGTGGGATTTATGACGGTAAGACCTTCTAAAATACTCGTAGATCTTGGGTGAGAAGCCGAATCAGCTTAGGTGGATTAAGGTGTTGAAAGGGAATTCAGTAAAGGTCAACAGCATTTTGAGGCCCTCTGATTAATCCCATATGGGTTATTCAGCATCATATTCAAGATATACTGGCGAGTTTGAAACCTACTACTTTCTTTCTATATAGTAATGTGATCGATTGCATCGGCAAATAAATTTTAGATACAAGAGTAACTAGGTTTTGATAAATCCCCTGAGGTAACATTGTTAGGGAGACCTTAATTTCGTATAAAAAGTGCATGACAAATAGATTCAGAATGGGGAAAATTCAATGAAGTCCTGGGTCCTAATGAAAATCCCAACCATCAATGATATGGCAGAGTTGATCTCGTTTTCTCAACTTGGTCTTGTTGTCAGTTGTACTGGTTTCTTCGAGTAGACTTCACTCAATTCGCGTCATTTCCGAAATTTCATCATCCTCTTTCTCTTCGCAATCCCGTTTCCTCTGGCTAACAATGGGTCTAAGAGGGCCACACCATCTTGCTCTTCAAATCTTCCATAAATGTTATGTTGCTATTCGTTTTCTTATTCAACTACTAATCATAGTTTCTAAATCGACTTATTTATCATTTCTTATTCTTCCAGGTCTGTGAGAAAGACTTAAAGAAAGAAGTATTCCCAGCCAAGGAACTCTGCAATTAAGAAGAACCGTCCTTATCTGGTCGCATTTATAGGCAGGGATTCTTTATTAGCCTGCCGGGGCAGAACACGGTTGAGACAGCGATAAAGGAAAGGACCCTCATGTATCCTCATGAATCATGGTTTTAATCGGACCCAAGAAATTACTGCAGAAGTATGATAGTTGTATGATTTTCGCCGACTCAACATAGCATTTTATTTTATTCACCCTGGGTTGCTCTTCACAACCAGAATTTGTCCCCCCCCTGGGTACTACATGTGAAGCTCTACGAACAGGCAGATCAAAGCAATCGAATTGACGATCCAGGGACCGAAGAGTGAGCTGGCCAAGATGATATGGTAGTCTTCTTTCAAACTTTCAGGATCACTTGTTCGAATATCAGTTTGCCCTACCGTCAGCCACCAAACCCTCAGTTTCGGCTCGTTCGTACTACCACATCCGTAGTACTC